TTTTTTTTATATTAAATCTGGTAAATGATATACCTTTTAATATAAGTATAGATATATTTTAATTAACTGTCACGTGGTGAGTATAATAATAATAATAATATATAATTTATTTAATCAACTGATTACGTGCATACTATAATAATAATAGTAATAAACAATGGATAGCACACGTTTTGAAAAGTTAAAAGCAATCAATCAATTCACATGAATTATAGGTGAGATTAATGAAAGGTGAGATAATATCCGTTCATTTATATAATCTAGTGTGAAAAGGACATAAAGAAAAAGTGTGAAAAGGACATAAAAGTTACTAATTTTAGTAAACATTTAATGCAGACAGGATGTTGACTAAGAATTGACCTACTAATTTTGAAAAAGGTTAATTCTTATTATATAAGTATAGATTTCCAAAAACAAACACCCCAATTCCAAATTTCCTATCTCAATCCATGGTCTCCCGTCACATCAGCCCCTGCAAATCTGCAATTGCTGCCGGCGAATTCTTCTCCGATGGTGGACGACGGAAGAACGGCGGCTGCAACGGGAAGGAGTGAAGACCACGATGGTGAAGGTGGTCGGAGGCGCCTTCACCTTCACACTTGCAGGCGGCTGAGATCTGCGGGAAGGAAGTGATAGAGGCGTTACAGTCAGTTCCCGACGGAGGAGGAGGACGAGGACGAAAGCTCCACCGCTGGACCAGACGGCGGCGTAGAAGGTGGTCGTCGGAGTTGATGACAGCAATGGACCGCGGGATGAAGGCGCGACGGATATGTACCGGCTCTGAAGGCGGCAGATCGATGAAAAACACGGCGGTGGTGCCGGCGGCATTCTGGGCGAGGCGACGGCGCCGTCGTGGTGTCCGTCTGTGTGAAGGTGACAGTCCTGCCGGCAGAAGGGTGAGTGTGTGTGACAGGGTGTGTGTGAGAGAGATAAATAATGAATCAATTAAAGATAAATCTAATGAGGAGAGAGAGAGAGAGTTAATGAGGGAGATGGAGGGGTGAGTGGGTGACGTGTCGTGGCAAATTGGTGTGGTGTGTGTGTCCCATTAATTATTTTGGTGTTGTCAATTACCATCTTATCCTTAATGAAAGTATAATTATGCATTTTTTTAAGCCATTAGATTGCCCAATCTAATGGCTAGGATGTATTCTTATTTCTCGCATTAAGAGTCATTCTCACCGGAGCGTGACCCTATATATATATATATAAAAGTAATTAGTGCATATTTTTAAAATGTTTTCAAAAAAAATGTTTCCATATTTTTTTGCTAATATTCTTATTAAATTTTATTCTCATTTCACTATTCACTAAAGGCTCACATGCACAAATTATAGAAACTCTGTGAGATGCCAAATTTCCACGTCTCCCTAAAACTTGTCTTTTTGTATCAATGGGTTCTCTACTTTGTTAATTATTATTTTAGAGATGCTCTCAGTTTATTCTATTTTTATTAAAACCTTTCTTAGTATACCCAACTCTATTTCTAGTCTAATGTGTATTAAATTACTATGTCAATTCTTAAATTAATTCATATGTGATAATATTTAGTTAATGCTTTAAGGAATTATAGCTAGTAGTAAAATTTTTATTACTAATTTAATATAGGTGTATTCCAAACTCTTTTGCTATTGTTGGACCAATGAGATGTAGAAACACTTAGAAGGTCATGAAGTCATTATAAACAATATGATATTATAGATTATAAAAAAAATGTTGTACTTATTGAAAAGGAATAAATATTAATTATCCTATGTTTTTATTTCGTGGATATATATATATATGTATCTGAGTAGGGTAAACATATAACAAGTTTGCTATGGAGTCATTGGTATGGCTCGACTTATGAAGTCATTCACACTTATTCACCAATAGTGTATTAACACGTGTCTTACAATAATACACTTTAAACATGTGTCAATAGATTAAGTAGTGAATTGCTGCATAAGAAAATCATTCGATAGCTCCATAAAATTTTTTAAGCACATAAATAGTGTTGAAATTGTCGGTCATAAATGTTCATGTGGTTGACATTTATGGCATCCACTAATTTACCTTATTTTATAAGCCGAAAGTAACAGGATGGTCCTTTCCTTTGAAGGAATTAGGAGACAAATTTCATATTGAATCATATAATTATTTCAGCATTATTGCTGGTGGACATTGTCATAATTAAACTCCTTCGGGTCCTTGAGCAATTTATATATATATATATATAAAGGATATTACATCAACAAAATTATAAAAATGGCATTTTTTAGCT